TGGGATGTACAATGCGCACAACCCGCTGTCCATTGCCAAGACAATGCGGCGCGGGCGCGTGCGCTGCGCTGGTGGACATGGCCCATGACGTAACGCCCGCTTCGGGCGGCTTTTGCCGTGAGCCAAGCGGCTTGACGGAGCAGCGTTGCAGGTGCTGCCCGTTCGAAGCGCGCGGCGGAACGCAGCGCGGCGCTTTGCTGCGGCAGTTGGCTTTCGCGGGGGGCCCGTGGCGGCATTGCGAGGAGGGCCAGTTGGATTTGGCCCGTGGTGGGGCCTCACAGTCGGTTCGGGACGAGAAGACGGCCGACGCCGCGTGGATGGCAACGGACATTAGGAGCCGCGCGCCCAAGGGGATTGTGCGCGCGCTGATTTTTGGTGTGACATCATGTGGTTTCTCGGGCGTCCTCATGGGGCCGACGTCAGCGCATCGCCGAGATCGGCTAAGGCGCCGCCACCATCGACGGTCTCGGCGCAGTGGCGTTGTGGCAACTGGCTTTGCTGCGGCATTTGGCGTTCTTGCGGCCGCGAAGATGCCAGGGGCGCCGCTGGGCGCGCCCGAGGCTGCGACCAGCCAGGCGTGCCAGAAGTTTGCTTTCATTACCCTTTTCGGACAAGGGCGGACACGACGCGGGGCGTTCCCAAACCACCCAGCGCGCGCAATTTAGGCGTTTGGGCTGCCGTGAGCCTGCCTGCGCGAGCTCCATTCCACCGCTTGGCGGTATGACATTGGACGAGGGGATCGCAGCTGCGAGACCCCAAGGACTCCGCGGTGGCGACCCGCCTCTACCAGGGGGCAGGCGAGCCCAGGAACTGACCGCCCCAGGCGCACGGCGCAGCGCCGCGCGGCGCCTTCGCATTTGGCGCCCGCGGGGCCCGCAGGCCGACGGACATTATCGCCCCTGCAGACAAACCTCGGGTTTCTATCGCGGCGTCCCCGCGGAAAGGGTGGCTTGAGCTACGCTCGCCCCTGGCGGGGTTGGCGGGGGGGCGCGCCAGGCAGCAGTTCGCCGCGTTTGCTTCCGTTCGCTGTGCGCGGCGCGCGCCGCAGCCCTCGCGCCGCCGCGCGAGGGCTGCCGTGGCCAGCGTGGCCCTCGCGCGCGCCGTCGACAGAACATCTCGCACGGTTTCCGCAACGGTCGCGCGAGGAGGAGGGATTGGGAGGATGAGGATGGGGAGGAGGAGGGTGAGGGGGATGACGAGGAGGGTTCGGGGCGGGGGGGCGGTGGAAGGGGGGGGGGGGGGGGGCGGACGGGAGTTGGAACAGGAGGATAGGAGGTAGAGGAGGAGGGGGGAAAGGTGGAGGAGGAGGAGGAGGATTGAGGAGGATGAGGAGGAGTTGGGGGAGGATGGGGGGGGGGAGGGGTCAAAGGGGGGAGGGTGAGGAGCAGGGGGGGGGATGAGGAAGGGGCACAGAGGATGACAAATGAGGAGCGAGGAGGAGCGAGAATGAGGAGGATGAGGCGAAAGTGCGAGGGAGCGAATAGTAGGCGGGAATCTGCGTGAGAAGGGGCGCGCCGAGCGGTACGCGCGTGACCGAGGATGACGTGGAGGACGGCGAGGGGAAGAAGGAACATGACGTAGAGCAAAAATGATGAGGAGGAGTTGGAGGGGGAGGAGGAGGAGGGGCAGGAGCCCCTCCCTCCTCTCCCCTCATCATCGGTGCCTCATAGAGCTCGATTTTCTGCACCGCAGTCCTTTGGCTGCCGCGCGTGGGCAGCCGCGGGATGGGGTATCCCACAGTGTGCTGGGGTAGGGGCGGGATACGGTGGCGTCAGGTGGGTGGGTGGGCGGGAGGGGGAGGGGGAGGGGGGGTGGGCGGAGCGGGGGCGGGGGGGGGGGAGGGGTATTTCGGTGCGCGAGGAGGGCGAGGATGCGGATGCCTGTGTTGTCGATATCAATATACTAGTTAGATGTGCGCAGTTTTTTCTTAACAGGTTGTTTTTGTACACTTATGGTTGCGGCTTTGTTTTTGCAGTCCGTCTGTGATACAGTTTAGTACAGTGCTTGTGTAGTGTAAGTGCACTTAGTACATGCGTGCGTGCCGATGTCATGGGTTTTGTTATGTAGTTTCCTGATGTGTTGGGGGGGAGGGTACTTCAGTGCACGACGAGGTAGAGGATACTGTTGCATGTTTTGTCGGTATTGAATAGACTAGTGAGGTGTTCGGGCACACGTTGTAATATTTTGTGTATATGCACTTTCGGCTGCGCATGTGTTTTGCAGTGCGCCTGTGATACAGGGAGGTACAGTGCTTGTGTAGTGAGAGTCTCTTTGGTGCATGCGTACGCGTTTGTGTCATGGTTTTGTTATGTAGTTCCCCGATGCTGTGTTTTGTACATGTATACATGTGCGTGCGCGTGAGCTTGTCTTAGCAGGACGCGTGCGTTTTTTTTTTTTTTTTTTATAGCATGCATGCATGGGCGCGTTCATATCTCGGTGTATGAGTGTGTATGTGTTTGTGTGTCTTTGAGAGTTTGTGTTTCAATGCCTGTGTGTGTGTGTGTGTTCAGGTGGTTATGTGTGTGCGGGTGTGCGCGTGTGCTTGAGTCCTCACCCAAGTACCTCCCCCCCCCTCCCCCCTTCTTCTCCCCCCCCCCCCCTCCCCTTCCCTCCTCCTCTCTCCCCCCTCTCCCCCTCCCCTTCCCTCCCTCACCCCTCCCCATCTCCTCCCCTTCGCTCCTCCCATCCCGTTCCCTCCCCCCTCTCTCCCCCCTTTCCCTTCCGTTCCCCGTCCCTGCCGCCTCTCCCTCCCTTCCCCTTCCTCTCGCCTCTCTCCTCGGCCTCCTTCTCCCTCCTCTCCTCTCCCTCCCGGCCTACCGGAACAGGGCGGCGCCGCCTCCGCGGCGAGGGCCTCAAATTTAGGCCCCCGAGTAGCTTAAAAAGCGCCCAGGAGAGGTCCCGGGACTGGGGGTGGGGGCGTCTTGTTGTGGCCGATTTGCGCAATGTATCGAGCGGGGGCGCCTCCCCAAAATTTCACCCCCAGTCCCGTAAGGGCCCTTGGGGGCGCACTTCAAGGCCCTTCGGAGGCGCACTTTGGGCCCTTGGGGGGGCCGCCCCAGGCCCCCTTCACCTCCCTCTCCTGCCCCCTCCCCCCCCTCTCCTCCCGCCTCCTCCCTGCCCCGTCCTCTCCCTTTGCTCCCCTTCCCTCCTTCCCCCCCTCCTTCCCCCTCCCCTTCCGCCGTCACATCCCTTCCCTCTCTCTCGGCTTCCACACCTCCCCTTGCCTCGCCCCCCTTCTCCTCCCGCCCGAGGTTCCGACGCAATACTTCACGGAGGCTTGCTTCTTGGAGGGCGCCCAGCTCGAAGCGGCAGAACAACAGCATCGGCAGTATTTCAGGACAGGGGCCGCGGGGGGCTGGGAGGCTGAAAGGGGGCGGCCTGGAGGCGAGTGCCCAGGCCCGCCTGGCGCGGAGGGCAAGGGCCCCACGGGCGAGGAGGAGGAGGAGGAGTAGGAAGTGGGGGAGGAGGGGGAGGAGGAGGGGGGAGGAGGAGGAGGAAGTGGGGGAGGAGGGGGGGGGGAGGAGGGGGAGGGGGAGGAGGGAGGAGGAGGGCGACGCTGAGGACGAGGAGGACGAGGGAGGCGGAGGAGGAGCAGGAGCAGGAGCAGGATCAGAAGCAGGAGAAAGAACAGGAGGAGGAGGAGGATCAGGAGGAGGAGGAGGAGCCTCCCCTCCTCTCCCCTCGCCCTCCTTTCCCCTCCGACTCGTCTTCTTGCCCCTCATCAGTCTAAGCGCGGCCCCTCTCCCGCAGCTCTCGCGGAGGAGCGTCGTGAAACGCAAGATTGCTGGCGCCGAGGACAAGGATGAGGTTGGCGGCAAGAAGCCCCGCAAGCGCAGGCGGCTCAAGGCGTTCCAGATGGTTATGATGCTAGACAATCAGCTCAAGCACAGCTGCGACGTTGGCCTCGCGCGCTTCAAGCTGCCTGTTGATAAGGAAACGAACGCCATCATTGGCGATCCATTCGACCTCCCCCTCCTCACGATCGCTCCAGATTCTGGGCCAGACATGGTTGCCGCTGATCATTTCTTATCGTATGAGGTCCAGTTGCTGGTTCAATTTGAATACGACCTGAGCCATTCTCTATCGAATGCTTCGAAGTGCGCCTTGAGGCACCAGCGGTTTCCCAACCAAACCTCTCCCACGCCCTCCTTGTGGATGGAGGCTGTAGGATGACGGCTGAGGAGCATGAGCACAGAGGCAGGATGAAGGGGCACAGGAGGGTATGTTAGTGGATTGCGGAGGAACGTAGGAGAGGAGATCTGATGAGTGGGGGGGGGGCTGTGATGTTTGATGTTGCCCCGCTTCCATCTCAGGCACTCTGGGCTCTGGCGCTTCCAGGTCATGATGTGCGCGGGGGCGAACTGCACATACGGATCGACACTGAGTCCCCCCAGGCTCCAGCAGATCCGCGAAAGCGCGAAGTCCCACATCGCGAAGTGCGGCAGCCCAGATAGCGACGCCCTCTTCCAGATGTTCCTCCCAGGGATCAAGGAGCAGACCCCTGAGGCTCGTTAGTTTTTTTCCTTTGCGTGTTGTGGTCGTCGTTGTCGACAGTCGTCCGTCGCCGTCGCCGTCGTCGTCGTCGTCGTCGTCGGCGACGTCGTCATCCGCGTTTGTCGTTGTGGTCGTGGTCGGCGTGGTCGACTTCGTCGTCGTCGCCGTCGTCGACGTTGTCGTTGTCGACGTCGTCGTCGTCGCCAGTGTCGTCGTTGTCGTCGTCGTCGTTGTCATCGTCTTCGTCGCATCCGTCGCCGCCGTCGGCGTCGTCGGCGGCGGCGCCGAGTCACGTCTGCAGGAGGGGAAGGATGTGGAGGATGAGGTTGAGGCGGGCGATGGTGATGAGGGGGGCCCGATGGCGAGGCGGGAGGAGGAGGAGGCCGAAGAGGATGAGGATGTTTCTTATCCATCTTCGCCTCGCTGCCTCACCCCATCCTTGCCCTGCTCGCCCATATACCCCCTGCTTGCTCCTCGATCTGTGCTCGAATGCATGCGTCTCCGAGGTCGATTGGACAGCTCCCGATGCGGTGATGAACTTCTACCTGTCCATCCCCGACCACAGGTTGTGCCATAGCAAGTTCGAGAAGGTTAACTTGGGCAAGTTTCAGCACCCAGTAAGTTGTGGGAACAAGAGCGTGTCGTCCTTCTCGCTCCGCGGCTACTTGTTCAACGTGGCCGCGCTCTCGCTCGGCTTCCATGGGGTTGACCGCAGGAAGGCGCAATCAGCTATGCAGGATGGTATCAAGGAGGTCTCGTCGTCAGGTGGCTTGCCCTCGAAACCGTCATTAAAGCAGCACGCGCACGAGAGCATCACCGCCAGCTGCGCCAACCAGTTGGACAAAGCTGCATACATCTACGGGGACTACACGAACCTCGAGAAGCAGCGCCTCATCCTGGCCGTCCTGACGCCGACGCAGACCTACCATGGAAGGTGGGACGGTGTGGAATCGTTGCCCTTCCGCTGCTTCTTCGCTCCAGTCCATGGGCTTGCCCAGTTGCTTTCCTCGCTTTCCTCTAGCCGTCTCGCTATCCTCGTCCTCGCCGTCCTCGTCTTCGTCTTCGTCCTCCTCCTCGTCCTCGCCCTCCTTTTCCTCGTCGTCGTCGTCTTCCTCCTCCTCGTCGCCCTCCTCCTCCTCCTCCCCCCCCCCCCTCCCCCCCCCTTATTCTCCTCCTCCTGCTCCTCCCCCTCATCCTCCACCTCATTCTCCTTCTTCTCCTCCTCCTCCTCCTCCTCCTCCTCCCCCCCCCCCCTCGCTGTCCTGTTCTGTGTGCGGCTCATTTGCTTCTTTGCGCCCCCCCAAGGCAGAACCAGACCTTGAGAGACGCCAAGTCCACGGTACCTTGGGAGATTGATATGTGTTCGGGCGGCTTCGCTAAGTGCGAACAGTTATCCATGACCACAATTAGGTACCGCCGAATCTACCGCAAGATGGGTATTGAATCGTCCTGGGGGCCCATGAGGCTGTGCTTGGCTGACCCGAGGCTCCAGAAGTCGGAGGAGCATGTGCAGTTACTCGTTGATCTTGTGTTCCAGATCGTTTTGGAGCACACCAAGAGGAACTTGGTCTTCAGTCACGGGCTCCCGCGGAGACAGTGCCTCTGGCTCTCAGGGGACGGCCGCGCAGCCGAGTTCCTCAAGCGCCTCGAGGCTGACAAGGAAATCTACATGGTTCTGAAGACGTGCACGTTCGAAGGGTCGGAGCTGATGGTCAAGAGGAGCTTGTTTGCCAAGCCGTCCGTCAAGCACTTGTTGGCATGCGTTGAGGCGGAGAACTGGTTGCCGTCGGAGAGGCAGCGATGGGTGCACTTTTTTGGCGCCAGCCCCCGACCACGCCCCCCCCCCCCCCCCCCCCCCCCCCCGCCGCCCCAAAACGCCTGGGCTGAGGGGGAGCGGGGGGGAGGGGGAGGAGCACCAGGAGGGAGGAGGAGGGAGGAGGGAGTGAGGAAGATTGAGCCAGGTGAGGAGGAGGAGGAGGAGGAGGGCGAGGGCGAGGGAACCAAGAGGAGGAGGAGGCGGAGGAGGGGTGAATGGGAAGCAGGAGTAATACCTTGGCCCAGGCTGCGGAGCCACATCGCCGAGAAGTGCCAGAGGATCATCGGGTCGCAGATCGTGGAAGACACCTTCAACAAGTGCAAGAAGAAAATTGACTGCCAGACCAACACCCTTACGGGCCCCATCTCGATGATGGCCACGGCTCTGGACTCGAAGGTCATCAGTAAGACTCATCGGTATGAGGAGCTTGTTCCGAACTCTGTCGTTGTTCCCAGAGATTGTGTTTTGGCTAACAGCGTATGCCACGCCCCGCTTCTGCGGAAAAACCTGGAGCCTAGCACTGCCAGCCTGGAGTTATGGAAAATCGCAGGGTTCGGCGATGCTGGCTGGCATTCGCCAGGTGCGGCGGGATACACCGTCCCATGCGCCGACATCGAAGTTTGCCGCCAGGCGTCCTCAGCAGGCAAGATGAGCTTGATCAACCAAGCCATCTTCAGCCAGCTCGTGCACCAAGGCCTCGTCGTTCGAAAGAAGGGGGCTGGCTCGCCGTGGAAGTGCGCTGTTGGTTGCGTTGATGGGCGCCTCGCCGTCTTGTGGCCAATGAAGGAGGTTGGGCCCATGAAGTGGTCCTTCGACTGCACTGGCACTCGGGAGCTCGTGGCGGTCTTCGATGATGAGGAATGGGAGGCCACACCCGTCGTCTTTACGTCGCCGATGCGGCAGGCCATCGAGTCGGAGCTGGTGGCGGAGGGCCGCTCCCTGACCGCACTCGACGCGGAGGTGGGGTTGAAGGCATCGCGTGATCATCTTTGCCAATTTCTACCGTCGCCTGTTTTTCCTCGCTCTTCTCATCCTCTCAATTTCCCTCACAACCTCATCTTTGATGTTTGCCTTCGCGGCCTCCGCCCCCCCCCCCCGCCCAGCGTGCATTGAACAAAAGGTGGCGGGGATCGGAGGCCGCGAAAGTGGGGAGGAATAGGAGCTGGCGGGGTGGGCGAGGAAAAACAGGTGACGGTAGGAATGAGCAGGGATGGTCGCCGCAGGCGTCGGACACGCACGGCGACTTGGTGGTTCTCGTGCAGGCCGAGGGCGACGGGAAGGTGATGTCCCTCATGCATGCTGCCCTCATGAGCGGCTTCTGGGCGTTGCCTGTTTCATATATGATGGCCGTTTGCGCGTTGAAGCGCTGGGACGTGACGACTATGTCGTTGGCGGGCCTCCTGACGACAATTGCTAAAAAGGCGTTGCCGATCTATTCGGATGCGATCCTTGCGCAGATACTTGCCAGGCGCATCGGGACGATGGACTCTCAGCAGCACATGGAGGACATTATGGAGCTGGAGTGGGTGGCTGACATCTTCGACAAGACGGTGGCCGAAGAGATCCAGCAGCAGGCCAACACCGCGAAGGCCCACAAGTCGCTCAGGTCGGACTTTCTGAAGGATTACCAGAAGCTGAAGGATCTCCTTTTGTTTATGCGCCTCGGCCGCCTCAGCCGTCGCCCTATTCCTTTTGTCGATTTCCACCCTGGTCTTGTCCCCCCTCCACCTAGGAGGGGGGAGGGCGGAGGGAGGAGGGATGAGGGAGGAGGGAGGAGAAGGATGAGAAGGAGGAGAATGGGGAGAAGGAGGGCAGAGATGAGAAGGATAAGACGGAGGAAGGAGGAGGGAGGAGCGAGGAGGTAAGTAAAGTGGGAGAAGGGATGCCTTTTGTTCCGTCCCCCCCACCCCCCTCTCCCATGCAGGTTTTGCATCCCCCCCTCCCATCCTCTCCTCATCGTCCGCTAGACGAAGCTGGTTGGCAAGCCTGCCACAACGGTGAACAGCCCGAAGCACCCCCTGAAGGGCCTCAAGTACCCGAAGGAGCCCCCCGAGCCCAAGGACGACCTGGAGCAGTCCCAGGCCAAAAAGTTCATACCGCCAGGATCCTATATCTGGCGGGCGAACACGACTGGCGAGTGGCGCTTCAATATGCCGTTCTACAAATACCGCGGCAATTGTCCGTGGAGCCGCTTCGACGGCAATTCCTTCCAGGCGTTTCGCGAGTGCTTGGTGATGTTGTGGACGCGCTACTTGGAGGAGCACAACCTCCCGTTCTCGCACTGCCCCGTGCACGGGCTCTTCAAGGCTGAGGGCGAGGCCGCTGCTCCCGCGTGAGGTTGCGCGCTTGTGCTTGCCGCCGCCGCTGCTCGCACCCCCCTCGACGATGACGGCCGACGACGGCCACGACGACTCCAGACAAGCAACTCCTTCCTTCCATTTTCAGTTGTGCCCCTCTGCACGGCCCGCATTTCGCTCGGGCGAGAGGGGGCGTCCCCTGGCGAAGCCGACGACCTGCGTGGGGTACGCGGGCTGCAGGCTCCAGAAAGGCGTTCCGACTCGGTCTGATTGCATGTGCAACCCCCTTCCCGATATTGGGGGGGGGGGCGCCCTGGAGTTGGGTGTAGACGGAGGCGGGGCGAGGGCAGCGGAGGTTGGGATCTGGGAGGTGGGAACACCAGAGGGGGAGTGCGGGGGGAGTGGAGGGCAGCGGGATGACGGTCTGGGCGGATTGGAGGAGGGGGCAGGTTGACCCCGCTTAGCATGGCCATCCCCATTGTTATTGATTGCGTCGGCCCTCGAGTTGAGCACGCAGCCCATCCAGTGTCGGGTTATTGTGCTAGGTTGTGCGCGTGCCGATGTCAGGGGGCGGCTTGCTATACCTATGTCGCGGGAACTCAGCCGCCGCTTTCATGGCGATGCCCGCGCCTCGCGAGCTTTCATTGCCCGAGAGGAAGGTGGTAGCTTCTTTTGTGTCTCGGGCGTCAGGGCCCCGTCGGCGCCACGTGCCGATGAGCGCTCAAGGTGGTTCCGCCAGCGCGGCCCAGGAGGCTCGGCATCGTGGCTAAACGATCTTGCATCGCCCACACAACCATGGCCACGATTAGTTTGGGTTTCTCCCCAGCACGGCTTTCCAGAGTTTCTGGAAGTTCTAGTTTGCATGGGGGTCAGTGTTTCATCCCCTAATCCGTGCGTGAACGGGCACAGTGTTTCGTGCTGGCAGGGGGTTTGCTTTCCCACCGACCCTTTGGATGATGGCAGCAGTGCCCGTTCCCCCAATCGATCGCCCGACCCGTGCCCTCCTCCTCCTCCTCCTCCTCTCCTCCTCGTCCTCCCTATCCTTTTCCCCCTCCTCATGCTCCTCCTCCTGCTCCTCCACCTCGAGCCCAGAAACGTTTCCATTGATGGGGTCCGCGTGCAGGGGCCCGCGAACTGGCTCCCGTCCGCGGACATTTTCGGCCCGACGTTGAAGGTCGAGGGCCCATTAGGGGCCATCCTGCCTAGTCTCCCTCGGGCTTCCGTGTGCTCCCATCCTGTTACCACCCTTCCGACTCCAGGTCTCACCATAGCCTAAACGTAAGACCGAGGGTTGCTTTAGTGCCCGCGTACATCGTGCCGTGCCCGTGCCGTGCCGTGCCCGTTTGATTTGAGTTCCGAGGGCCCGCGCCGCGCCGTGCCCGTTTGGAGTCCGTTGGGATGGCCCAGTGCGAAAATCTGCGACGACGCGCGAGGCGCCAGTAATGGCGATCAGGCCTTGACCGATGTATTTATCCCCCCCCCCCTGCAGGTCCTTCACCCCTCTCTCCCATCCCTGGGCATGCGTGTCCACATATGTTCCTCTTCTCGATAGATAATTTGGCCCGAGATGGCCGCGCTCGCCGAGCGGATCCTTCGTGGTCAGCTGCAGCCCTATGAACGCCAGAACCTTATACGTGTTTCTGTCGGTAGTGAATGGCTCTGTTGCTCGCGCAGATGGCTCACCGATTAGCTCCCGCTCATCGTTTTGCGGAACACGTGCCCCGTCCTGTTCGGCAGCCGATGGCTGGGAGGGACAAATGTTCAATGCAGGACGATGATTGGGATGTTCGGGGCGAGCCATCCAAGGGATGCCCAGTGGTGGTTCGTTATCAACGTCTTACCCCCTCACCCTGAAGATGTCGAGATTGCTGCCGATCGTGAGAGACGGCGCCGAGAAGGGTTACTCGACTCGTCATCAGACGATGACGAGTTGTGAGATTAAAGAGGACGCCCAATGGGGGTAAACGGGGAGGCCGCTGGAACCATCCGAGCACAGAGGTCCCAGATATCCAGTGCCCCCACCCTTTCCCTCTCTGCGCCTTCCCTCCAACCTTTTCCCCTCGGCCCCCAAGCATAGACTGCGACCCGCGGGGAAGTAGGATCGAGGGGGGGAGGGATTAATGGGGGCTCGGCCGAACCCTACTTAGACGAACGCGACGGCGTCCGAACCGAAAGCGATGACGTATGCGCAAAGCTTACTGGCGTAGAAAGACACCAACAATGAGCAGCTGCGAGTACCGCACTCCGCGGCTTCCCGTGGAACTCCCAGGGCAGCGGTCCGTGCGAGGCATCCTTTGGTGCCCTCTTGGCACTGCAAGAGAGGCCCGAGAGGCTCCCAAGAAGGACCCCCACTGGGACTCCAAGAGTGGCCCAGGGGGCCCCAAGCGGTCCCAAGATGGATCCAAGAGCGGCCACGCGCGGGCTCTCTCGCGTGACCGCTCGCGGGCCCCTCTCGGGGTCGTCCTGGAGCCCTCTGGCGTTGCAAGGCATGGCCGAGCGGGCCCCAAGAGGGGCCCCGACGGGCGCTCTATATTCCGGAGTAAGATTGGCCCAAGAGCGGTCAGGCGAGAGCTGTCTCGCGCTACCGCTGTTGGGCGAGCGCGAGGGCGAGCGCGTGGAGGGTGAACGATGATGAGGTCGAAACCGAAGAGGAGGAGAAAGAGGAGGAGTAGGGTGACAACAACACCCCCTTGGAGCAGGTGAGGGCGGCCGCCGCCGTCGATCGGTCGAGGTAAACGCGAGGCGCCGCCTGACGCAATGCCGCATCCTATCCGATCCGATCCTCGCCCTCCTACGCCGCCTTCTCCCCTTTCTCATCCACCTCCCCCTCCTCCTTCACCTCCTCCTCCTTCTCCCCCTTCCCATCCTCATGTTCTTCCTCCTCCTCCTCCTCGCCTCACTCCTCCTCCTCCTCGTCCTCCTTGTCTAGTGTTGGCATATCGGGCAAGTGGGTACGTGTTGGGCGCGTCTTGGGTTGGATAAGCATCCTGGGTTCATATGTGTAGTTACGTGTAGTTGTATAGGTGCTTTTGGCCTTTTGGGTGTCTATAGGAACAGCCCTAGGACAGTCTTGGGGCCACCAGGCGTTCTTGGGGCAGTCTTGGGGCCATCAGGCGTTCTTTGGGCAGTTTGGGGCAGGCGTCTCGGCGCAGTCCTGGGGCCAACAAGGCGTTTTTTGGGGCAGGCGCCTTGGGCCAATATTGGAGCCATCGGGCATTCTCGTGTTAGACGGGTGGTGTGGCGTGCACTCGGCTCAAGTCCACGAAGGGGTTGACCGCCTTCCTCCTGACTTCAGTTTTTTTGTGCAGATTGGGTTGTTGTACGTCGGTTCAGGATCCCGCAAAAATCCGTGTCCTGGGGTCCGTGAGGGCTGAAAGGCTGCAGATTCGGCATCCCCGAATCTTCGGCTGTTCGGCTCGAGGAGGTCAGGGTTTGTTCGGAAGGCGGGTTGGCAACCTGGCCGTGAACCTCGCTTCGAGTCCGCGCGGGTTCGAAACGGGAGGGAAAGTCCGTGTGACCGTGGCCAGCCCCCACCCGAGGCTCTCGCGAAGCCGCCGCCCCCCCCCCCGCTCGGGCCGCCCAGGTCTCTTCCCAGGGCATCTCCCCAGGGTTCCTCTGGTCCCAGGGTGTCGTCTTGGCGGGCTCCTTTTTTTTTTTTTTTTTTTTTTTTTTTTTTTTTTTTTTTTTTTTTTTTTTTTTTGTTTTTTTTTGTTTTTTTTTTTTATAAAAAAAAAAATAAAAAAAAAAAATCGGGTCTCCTCCTACAAGGCCGCGGGGTTCCTGTGGGCGTTCTTTTGTATTTTCTTTTGTAATCGGGTCTCCTCCTACAAGGCCGCGGGGTCCCTTTCGGCGCCATTTTTGTTTGTTTTGTTTCTGTTTTTTTTTTTTGTGTTGCCGTTGTGGGGCCCTCTTGGGCCGTCTTGGGCGCCTCTAGGGTTGTCTTGGCGCCGCGCATGTTTTTTGTTTGTTTCGTTGTTGCTTTGTGTTATTTGTGTTGTTTCTCATTTTTGTTGTTGTTGATTGTTTGTTGGTTGTTGCCGTATTGTGGCCCTCGTGGCCCGTCTTGGGCGCCTCTTGGGCCGCCTTGGCGCCCTCTCGGGCCGCCTTGGCGACAGCCCGCAGGCAGGAGGAGATTGTGCGACAAGCCTGTTGCCCGCCATTGGGCGCTTGGGATCGTTTCCCGATGCTTGGGATCGTTGACTGTTGCTTGTGATCGTTTCCCCACTTTTGCTTTATTCGGCTACAGCCTGTCGGTAGTAATGCCGCCGCCCTCCTTTGGGTTGGCTGGTTGGATTGGTTGGCTGTTTGGTCTGGGCCGCGGGTTGGTTTGCTGGTTGGTGGGCTTTTTGCTTTTTGGCTGGTTGAGTTGCTGGGCTGGTTGGCTGGCGGCTGGGCTGGTTGGTTGGGCTGGTTGGCTGGTTGCCCCCGCCTACCCGCCAGCGCGCCCCCGCCGACCCGCCAGCCCCACGACCGCCGACGCCGAGGAGGAAACAGAGGAGGAGAGGAAAAGGAGGATGAGAAGGAGAGGGAGGCGGAGGAGGAGGGGCAGGTCGTTTTCGGGCTCTCATGTTTCCTCGCAGGCTCCTGGCGTTGGTGGTAGTGGTGTCGCTTCTCCTTGTTCTTACCACATCTATCGGCCTAACAGGGTATCAGAAACTGGACTACATGTACATGAAGCCCCAAGGGCCCTTGTGCTACAGTCAATATCCATTGCAAGGACGCAGGATCTCTGCGAGGGCACCCTTGCGCCCTTGCCTTTTGAGCCCATCCCTAGCCAATCTTGACGTCCAAGGGTGTCCAACTTGGACTCCCAAGGGCATTACTTCTTAGGTTATCGGCCTCCTGTCGGTCCGCGCGCCGACGGTTCAAAGAGTGGGCCCTCGGCTTGGAATCCAGCGCGTTCGAAGCAGGACCATGGCTCACCAGTTTTTCGAGCTGCGTCCAGCCGTGGTGATGCTTTGGCCCCCCTAACCCGTGGTGACGACGAGGTCCCCCCAGTCGATTATCGAAGTTGGACGTGGGCCTCGTGGTGAGAGGGAATTGTGAATCCCCCCTCGGGGAGTTTAAAACGGAGCCCACGCTGTGGGTTTAGCAAAATTCCCCGAGCCATCGGATTGAAAATTGAGATGCGCCACCCGCCAACCCCCCCCCCGTCGGTGCACGGCCCCCGTTCTGGCACACCGGAATGGGGGCGCGGGGAAAAGAGGGCGGAAGAGGGGGAGGGAGTCGGGCGGTGTGCCAGAAAGGGGGATAAAAACTTTGGGGGTTGGGGGAGGGCACGTCGTCGTCGTCGTCGTTCGGGCCCCGAGGAGTCGCCCGTGGCGGGCAAGAAGTTGCGCCTGTGCAACCCGTGGGACATCGGCCAGACGGTCGTGCGCGGCCCGAACTGGGACCTGGCGGGCTACAAGGAGATCGACGGCGGCCGCGACGACGCCTTGGGGGTCACCGTGCCGCCCTCCGAGCAGGTCCTCCAGAAGTGGTTGGCCATCCAGTTGTTCGGTGCGGAGGGCTACTCCAAGCATCGCGACAGCCGTACGGGTTGGTTCCTCGGCGGTTGGTGGATCAACCGCAGCATCTGCGCGCAGTTTGCAAGCTCCGCGGAGAATGGAGGCCACTTCTTCAAGGCCGATGATGAGAGTCAATACGATTTGTGCGTGGTCGAGGGGATGTCCCATATGCTGAATGTGGACAGAATCATGGCCATCATGAAGACGAAGGCGACGGTGGACAGCTTGTTTGAGACGTGGCTCCCCGAGAAGATGGCCAACAACCCGAGCTTGCAGGTCGAGGCCTCGGTGATCCAGGAGCTCTGGCGCATGACCACGGTGTGGACGAAGAAGCAGGTGGAGGAGATCATCGGCATGGAGGTCAAGCAGCAGGTGAACGCCGAGATCGCAGGCAACAGGGTGTTGGCCGCGAGGAAGAGCAACCCGAAGGACAGAGTTTACACAACATATCCCCTCCAGCGTAGGGTGGGAGTGGGTAGGAGTCGGAGGGCAGGAGTCGGAAGATAGGAGCATTGGAGCTGGGCCGTTGAGTTCAGTCAGAATCGGATGGTAGGAGTCGGAGGAGGAGTCGGAGGAGGAGGACGAGGAGAGGGTAGGAGGAGGAGGAGGATCGAAGTAGGAGACGGAGGTGGAGGAGGGAGGAAGAGGAGGAGGAGGGATGAAGAGGAGGAGGAGGAGGAGGAGGAGGAGCATGAGCCGCCCCCCCCCGAGGAGGAGCCCAAGATGAACGGGCCGAAGGTCTCCAAGACGATCGAGAAGACCGCCTACCATGGTAGACGGTAGGCGGTCGTGCGCGGAGGTCGGAGGAAGGACCTCGGAGAAGAGCAGGGGGAGGAGGTGGAGGAACGGTGGAGGAGCGGAGGGAGGGGTAGGAGGGTGGGAGCGGTTGGAGGAGAGAGGGGGAGGATGGGAGGAAGGAGGGAGGAGGAGAGGAGGGAGGAAGGAGGGGGAAAGGAGGGAGGCGATTCACGATCCACGTTCGATCGGAGTCGGCCCTCGATTGCGAGTCGAGTCGGCGATCCGAGGTCGATGATTCCTCGAATCGTTTTTTCGAGGAGGCGGCCCGCTGGCGACTGCCCTCTCCGCCCCGCCCGCGCCCGTCGGCGCCTGCCCGCCGCTGCCTCTCTGGACAGGCGGCGGTGCCCGTGCACTGTCGAGGAGCGGCGTTCGCCCTCGAGCGAGTGATGAAATGTGACATCGCCGTCCATTGTATGTCTTATGAATGTATTATGTATTATATCATATGTATGTTGTCAACTGACATGCAAGTTGGATGTACGTTTTATGGTTCAGTCTTATGCATGCTCTTATGTATTATGTGTTATGTGTTATGTGTTATGTATCATGTATGAGTTATGTATGTATTCAGTAGGCTTATGTTTGTTTTAATACATTATCTATGTCTATTATGTCTTATGTATGACCTCGTGCGTGACAGGTGTCGCGGTTGAAACTCGAGCACCGCGTTTGATCATACCAGGGTCGTCTTCTTGGGGGGCCAGGGGGTCCCGGGACTGGGGGTGGGGGTGGCTTCTTTGGTTACCAAGTACCCATTACGGCCGTGTTGGGAGCGGTCGTGGAGCCCCGTGCAAGTTTGTTAGGAACTGTCATGATGGTCATCTTGAATCATATTGGGTTACTTAACGACCCGCGCACCTTCCAGGCCGAAGAGGAAAAGGTGTGAGGAGAAATGAAGAGCATCTCCCTGCACCCAAAATGTGTCCCTCACTCCTGCCCGCCCTTCCAACTCATACGTAGCATCCGAACCTGGCCTGAGCCGTGGTATATTCAGCATCCATCTTTGATAGGCAGTTATTGTAACCGAATAAACACCTCTGCCTCCACTACCGCCGCCGCTGCCGCACCGCTGCCGCTGCCGCCGTCCCCCGCTGTCTACGCGCCACCCGCCGCTGCCATTACCGCCATTGTCGCCGTTGCCGAATCATTACCGTTGCAATCGTAACCGCCGCCGCCGCCGCCCCCACCGCCGCCGCCGCAGCCGGTCTCCGCCGCAGCCGTTGCACCCGCACCCGCGGCCGCCAAGTGTATTTTTTTATAAATTGATTTTTGACAAGGATGGTGGGGGGAGGCCGCATCGAGTTCACTACCCCTCTCCGAAGGGAAGAAGAAATGAAACAAAACGGGCCTTTTAAACCACCTGAAACCATCGCATCTGACTCTAATTTCCGAACCACAACGTACGACAACACGACTTGCGGTTCCTGGTTCTCCATTGTCTAACTACGACACATTGTCTAACGGTAATCTTGAATACGACTCCCTGTCCGCTCTTACTGTTCTGTCCACCGCGCGTTTCCAAATCACCCCTCCCTATGCCAAATGACGCCTCGCGAAGCTGTCCGTTCTTAAGACGTTCGGGATTTTGAAAAGGATGACGGACTTCCCCCACGACCGGCTAATTACTGGTTCCTTCTGACGCCCTAAACTCTAAAGCGTGGCGCAAACAATCCATTGTTGGGAAAAGGGTGCAAACAAAGCATGACACCACATATGCAGAGGAACGGGGCAACAATCCAGTAGCTTATAATGCTGAGACGCATGGCAAGTAGGAAAAGCAAACCAATTCTTGAATTCTCGGTCTGGCCAATAAACAAACTCGAGACCTCCACCCGCATATCCGGCGTGGATTCGTCGTCCTCCCGTAACTACACCAATATCATATGAAATTGCAGCAAAATGCTTCCATCGGCCCTAGCTGCCGAACGGTGCATTTCCTTGGCTTGCTTGTCGCGGAGGGCCACGCTCCACCAACGTCGGGCCGACGTCTCATTTAATCGGTCGTCCGCGCGGGCCCTAGTGCGTTCCGGTCCAGCGCCATGCCTAGAAATCCGCGCAGACCTTCGAAACATGACCTTTGCGCTACCGTTTATTGTCCATAAGAACAACGAAACAAACAAACTGGTATTATCGAAAGCTTAAGGAGAAACGCCAACCTATAGTTACAGAGGGTTTGGATGTGTAATATCTGAACAGATGTGGCTGCGAATTCGCTCATTCAAACAAGTATCAGACAAATCGGACAAACTCACTTGGCTGAGGAAGTTGGGAGGCGTTTTCAATACATTCTGCGTTTACGCGCTGCTTAACCCGAAACTCACGGTAACAAGAATCTGTTCCGTATTTGAAAATACAATCAATGCAGCGCAAACGCTGGACAAATCATCTCTGGAGATTTGATCGCGGGGAAAATACGAACCGGACAACAATCCACGCAACTGACGCCCTACACCGCGATCTGCTGCTAGAATTTTATGAAGGTCTGGACTCCGTGGTCGCCAACCTCTTTTTCAATCAACCGTTGGCGCAAAAGGGGAGCCTGGCGCCAATTTCAAGGGAAATAACAATAAACTGCTATTCAACATATTTGATATTTTCTGCGCAAGACTTGCGGAGCCTGTCGAAAGCGACGCCGAAAAATTACATAGGGGATCGCGAATCGTCTCCGTAATTGCCTGCACCATGAATTGCCCCAAAACTCGCCCCCCAAACGAAACCAAACATACATCCGCTTCTCCATCCGCCTGTCTCGTTGCATCGTGTTTTTGTTTATTGACCTACCGAGACACCAGAGAAACATGCCACCTTTTCCTCCTGTACCGCGGCTCGGCGTCCAGATGTGTAGACGATACAGGGCAAACCACCTCGCTTACAGAACCCCGCAAACCCAGCCATATACAACGAAACAAGAGGATGCGCAAAACCAGAGCTCAACAATAATTTCTGTCTTGCTGCTGGATGCTAGGTCATGTTCAACCACTCGCCGCCTTTGCGTTCCGCGGGATCCCAAACGAGAAATTATTCTCCCTGGTGTCAAGTACCCTTGTTCATAGCAACACTTTGTTTTTCATGACAGGACCTCTGGAACTCGGTGGATCACATCAAACCAACAATGTGGAGCGGGGATTACATACCTCGCATGCTCCCCATCCTACGACCCACGAGGGCCCAGGGAGAAACGGGAGAGCGCGATCTGCGAAGACGAACTCTTCTGGTCCAACCATTTTGGGACCCAACATCCGTGTGGTACGGATGCCGCAATACATCCGTTTCAATACCCACTAGGACATCGGCCTCGCCAAGTTCATTCTGAGTTGGAAGCGGCCTGCGGATCTGAACTGCATGGGCCCCGAGAAGATCTGTCAGGAAAGGGGGTTTGAAGCCAAATTTGTTCAAAATCGCTCCCTGGACCCCTCCCCCCCGAGGTCCATCTGGCGCAATGCTTCGCCCCGGGTTCGTTTCTGATGGTCCCGGGGCGCGAAAACAGCCCCCAGAGGCCGACAAAGGCTCAAATCGCCTCGAACCCAGAACATTGAACCTCGCGCCCCGTTCCTGCTCGCAGTACGGGGCCACCTCAGACCCCCAGCCGGCTCCAAACCCCGATAGGCTACGGCGATGCTGTCAACCGACCGATCTGTGGTGAATGGCTCGTTGAATGTTCGATGTGTTCCAGAGGGAGGAGAGGAGGAGGAGGAACAGGATGAGGAAGAGGAGGAGGAGGAGGAGGAGGAGGAGGAGGAGGAGGATGGGGAGGAGGAGGATGAGGAGGAGGATGAGGAGGACGGGTGCCAAGCATAGGCCTGCGTCCAACGCTAGGAGACCCCCGCGCCCGCTTCGGTCGGATCATCATTTGCAGGTTTAGGGCACCTTTCCACGTTTGAGAATGACGAGCTTCTGTGGCGAATAAGTTGTTGAGAACAGCTCAGCTATGACCCTGCGTTTCTCAAAGATGTCTGGGAGACCCGTTTGCAACCACGCGCGCCCTCTGCCTTGAACGGACTGTTGGTCTCTGACGTGTGGGGCACAACAGCGGCCCAAGCCTATCCGTCTGACATGTGCCTTATGTTGGCACCGACGCTTCTACAAGACATGAGGAACACCTTTCCAAAACTAACGAACGAGATCCAGGCGGGAGTTCCCAGGGGTAGTGCTCCAGGCTGTGTTTAGCGAGGCCAGACCTCTCGCTTGGTCTTTCAATAGAGAGGCAGCGCCCAGGCGCAAGGTGGACCTTTCGGACCCAGGAGATGGCTGGTTTCTTCTCGAAGGCCTCAGAAGATGTCACGCCCCTTTGGACTCCTACAGTGAAGCACACTTTGTTTACGATTGCATGCTCCGTTCTACTCGTAGGCGCCCACACGACTGACTGACCCTGTTCTGTGCGATGTCAGAACCTCAGAGCTCACCAATCTTCCCCTCTCCCCCTCAACACTGTTGTTCAGCTAGCGGGAAGGACTTTCGTGTGAAGGTGATGCCGCAACCTCGCTGGTTGCCACCCTGTGTCCATTCATATGTGACAAATCGTAGCACGAAAGTTTCGCACACAGGGATGCGATGCGCCTTTTGGAAGTACAGCTCTCGCCTGAGCGAAGGCTCTTCTTCACCTTTGCTCTTTGCCTCTTTCTTTGTCCGCCTTGCAGGTCCACCCATGTCCAAGGTAGTAGCTCAAGTGAGTGCCCCTTGTGGGCTCGCGCGCTTGCGCGGCCGCAGCGTCCTCCTGCTTCCAATCGGGTGTTTGCTGCTGCCTCTGCTCCTCTCGCCTGCTTCCTTCTGCTCTGCCCCTGATCTGTAAAGGCATCAGCCCTCTTGCTTGAAAGAACCGAACCGAACAGAGGAGCAGGAGCAGGAGCAGGAGGAAGACGAGGAAGACGAGGGGGATGGGGAGGAGGAGGTGAGGCGCCGTTTCTTGCAGGCCTGCTGCTGCTGTGCTCGCAGGCGGCCCGCACACGGGGGGCCGCGGAGCGCAGGCGCGACGGCGCTGGAGGAGGAGGAGGGGAATGAGGAGCGGAGGGGGTGAGGGAGGGAGCGAAGGAGGAGAATGAGGAGGACGAAGAGAGGGAGCGGGGGGGAGGGGGAGGGAGCGAGGACGAGCAGGAGGAGAAGAACGAGCAGAGCTCACCACGCCCGCGGCCCTCATCTGTCCTGAGTGGCTCGCGGTCAGGTGGGAGCGCGGGCTGCCGCCCACCCTTTTGCTGGCCCTCTTCGAGTGCCATCCATCCTGCTGGCTCCCTGCCCGCCTCGGTACTTAGTATGATTCCGCGGCGTTCGGCTTCTGGCCTGAGCCTCTGAACAGCACAGCCGCCCTTCGTGCACAATCGAATCCGCGCTGCCCAGCTGCTCGACCCCAAGAAACAACAACGAAGGGAACACATTGATTTGTCCTTCTGTGCCAGACTCACGGTGCGATGCGATGCTTCTTCCCCCTCCCCAAGAATACCACGCCCCTCTCCCACATCCTCCCCCCTTGGAGGCCTCCTAGATAGGGTCGGAGTAGATAGGGTCGGAGGATCGCGCCGCATCGCCGATACAGCGGTGCATCGGCGATGCATCAGCGATGCATCGGCGATGCACCAGCGATGCATCGTCGACGTCGGCGATGCACCGCCGACGACCGCGTGAAGAAAATCGGTCTCCGCATCGAGCCGCATCGCCGATGCAGCGGCGTTGCGGTGCGATGCTCCGACCCCGCCTGCTCGGACCCCACCTGGGAGCCCTGGACTCTCGGAGAAGTGCCGACTGACACGGCGGCGGCTCTCCCGCCCGACCCCAGGTCCCCTCGAAATGGGCCCCGGAGCCCTCCCGGGGTCCCGGGGCCAGCGCGCCTGCGAGCTCGCACGGCGGGCGCCTTGGCCAGTGGTCCAGTCGCGCCGATCTGGCGCACGCTCCGATCCGATTTAGCGAATCGACGAGGCTGGCTGATGATGGTGAGCGTTTTCTTTTTTCGGCGTTTCGACATTGGGCGGAAAGAGAGGGGGGGGACGGGGGGTCTGGCTCCAGACCTCTGCTTAGTGCGACTGTTTGCAAGAGTGCTGCCTCTGGGGAAAGCTCCACCTGCTCGAAGCAAACGCCAAGAAACAACCAACATCTAGTCCATGGAGGGGGGGGTATGGGGGGGGCGAGGGCCCGCGCGAATCGGCAAAACAGTACATAAAAACGATCACATGCTCGCTGATGATGGGCTCCCCCCGCCCCGAACACGCCACGCAGAGCCCACGAACGAGTCGCATCGACCACGGTTGTGTGCTGCCCGGGTCGGCGACCCAAGGGGGGCTGCACGTCGGCTGATTGATGCCGGACCCAAACATGAGACCTGGACCCCTTCTCTCCTCGTTCCCTCCCTCCCTCCCTCCCGCCCTCAGGAGGAGGAGGAGGAGGAGGAGGAGGAGGAGCACTGGCCTTTCAGCCTGACTCGTTTTGACTGTCTCGGAGCCTGCCAAGGGCCCCCACAGGCTCAAAATTGCCCAATACTCTCTGAACGGAACGTATTGTGGACAATGCCCAACACACGCTGTCCAAAACCGACCGCCGCTGCTGTTGAGCAGACGACAATCTAACCACTCCGCGCGGATCTCCAAAAATACATGTCTATGCTGGTCTCACTATTTGAGCGTATCTCAAGCCCCCTTTCCTCCATGTCGGCAATCCGAAAATGGGGCCGCGAGGAACGAGGCTCTGAGGACAATTAGGAAGGTATCCCAACATTGTTTGGGCCCCCCTCTTCCTTGAAAACTTCATTTTCGAACCGCCGATCATGGGACCCCCCCGCTACTCGCACCTGTGCGGGACAACGATCGGGGGGACCGTCTGAGAGGGAAACGTCGGTCGGCTTGGAATCGGCGTCACTTCGCCGAGAGATCGGCAATAGGCCCCCGATAGCGATGCCCCACGCCCCTGCGCGGGGCGGACTATCGAGCCCCTATCGGCGATGAGCGGGCGAGTGGAGGTCGAGGCATCCCACCGGGAGCCCATCCCCCCCTAACCTTAAGTCGGGCATGTCCCCCTACAGGCGGACTTTGCCAATGAGCAGGTTTACAAAAAACCTTCGGTCTTAAAATCAGCATCGTTCCTCTGCACAAGAGAGCGTTGGTTTACAGATCTGGCTTCAAAAGACAAAACCTGCAATCTGAGCTCGGAGCATGGGAGCGCCCCAAACGGCCTTCTGAGCATGGGAACGCCCCAAACGGCACTCAGAGCATGGGAGCGCCTCAGACAGCACTTCGAGCATGGGAGCGCCCCAAACGGCCTTGTGAGTATGGGAGCGCCCCAGACAGCCTTCTGAGCATGGGAGCGCCGCATACCTGGGCATTTTCGCAGGGTGGAGGGCTCAGGGTGAAATCCATCTGAGCTTTCGCACCTCGAAAATCAATCCATCTTGTGATTCACCTCTTGCAGATTCAAACGTCGAGGATCAACCGAAACGGCATTTCGGATTTCACCCTTTGCCCTCCACCCAAAGAAAATGCCCGACATACAGCCTTCTGAGCATGAGAACGCCCCAAAACACAATCTGCGCACGGAAACGCTGCAAACAACAATTTGAGCACGGAAACGCCCCGAACGGCAATCTGAACACGGAAACGCTGCAAACAACAATTTGAGCACGGAAACGCCCCAAACGGTAATCTGACACGGGAATGCCGCAAACAGCAATCTGGGCACAAAAGTGCCGCAAACAACAATCAGAGCATGGAAACGCCACAAACGGCAACCTGAACGCGGAAACACCCAAAATTCTTCGTCGCAGCACTTAGCTGCGCGCTCCCGCGCGGACATTGGGCACGACTGAACTCGCGCAGCTGGCCGGCGCCAGCCTGGGAGAGAGAGAGCCTCAGCACGCAGCGAAACGAACGCGCGCAACTGGCGCCAACCTGGAAGAGAGAGCCTCAGGACGCACAGCCAGCGGAGCGCAGCGCAAGTCGGGCGGGCGAGAAAAACACCCACCGCGCGCGCCCACGGCGCCTCAAGAAAACACCCTGAGACCTCGCTCTCACCGCGGCGCCAGCAGACGCCCACGGCATACAGAACAACGAGGGCCCGACAAACAGACGACGGACAGACAGAGAGACCGACAAACAGACCAACCGACAGACAGACGGACGGACGGACGGACAACCGCCGCCTGCTGGACACGGCGCGCTAGCAGACTTACAAGAGCGAGCCAAGTCCGCAATTCCCGCGCGAGAATGCCCGAGTCTCGTGCGCTATGCTGTGAATCCCCAGGCCATTAGGCAAGGATCGGAGTGGCCGCGTACTCCTCGAATTCTCTTGCCCTCCAAACCGCTGCGCGATGTAGCCGCGAAAATTCTTCGTCGGAGCGTTTAGCTGCGCGCGATCCCGCTAGGACATTGGGCGCGAATGAAAGCGCGCAGCTGGCCGGCGCCAGCCTGGGAGAGAGAGAGAGAGAGAGAGAGAGAGAGGGAGAGAGAGAGGATATATATATATATATATAGAGAGAGAGAGAGAGAGAGAGAGAGAGAGAGAGAGAGAGAGAGAGAAAAAAAAAGAAGCAGAGAAATAGAGAGAGAGAGAGAGAAAGAAAAAGAGAAAGAGAGAGAGAGAGAGAGAGCGAGAAGAGAGAGAGAGAGAGAGAGAGAGAGAGAGAGAGAGAGAGAGAGAAAAAAAAAGAGAGGGAGAGAGATAGAGAGAAAAAGAGAGAGAGAGAGAGAAAGAAAGAGAGAGAGAGAGAGAGAGAGAGAGAGAGAGGAGGAGAGAGAGAAAGCCTCAGGGCGCCCAGTGCACGCAGGCGAAGCCGGGCAGCTGCGCGAAGCGAAATGCCTTTGCAACCGCGCGAGCCCCCCGACGCGCGCGCAAATTTTCCACTCGCCAGCCCCGGACGACTCAGATTACTAAGCCGGGAACTCTGCCTCAACTACCGAGCCTCGCGCCTGCGCGGAAGTGCGCGCGGGCGCTGTGGGCCCCCGCCAACTTCAACCGCCTGAATGAAACAGCGTTGCCGGACCATTAGCTTGCAAGCACTCGGCGGTCCAACCCCTACGAAAAGGCACGCGTGCCCCGCGCCGCAGCATCTGCGGAGCCGCAGCCCTGGTCAGCTAATTCTAAGCACAGCCAGGCTTACTGCGCACGTCATGCCCGGGAAGGGGGCGCCATTCCAAATTGAGGCCTGCGGCGCTGCATCTGCCGCCCGAAACACCGCGGACTGATTGGGCCGACCGCCTGCGGGCTGGTGCCGGGCAATAAGTCGGCAAACGCCTCGTGGCGCTTTCCCTCGCAAATTGCAAATGCACCTGCGACTGACCGCGACGGGTTCGGCAAAGCATTTCCCATTCATGAAGGTGATGTCGACCGCGTAATGTGTTCCGCCACTATTGCTAACTGAGCAGGCATCTGCAGCCGAGCCCAGCGCAAGATTTCGCCGTGGCGCAAACAGAGCTGGCGCGCCACTGCAAAGGACCGACCCATGTCACTGCAGCCGTTCCTGTAACACCACCGTGGCACATTCCTCGTCTGCTCAGCCGACGCCCTCACCTTCGGCCGCCGAGGCGCACGACCTGCTTTTTCAGCTCCACGAACTGGTCGCGCTGCTTCGACTAGCGGCCCCACGGGGCAATGCAACCACCCCAGCGCAGTGCGCAGGCGCGACAAACACTTGGATGAAATGGCCGCGCTCCTGAACAAGCAAACGCACGCATCCGATGCGGTCTGCGTTGGGGGCCAGGGTGGGACCTGGCAGTCAAGAACAACTTGGCCGTGTAACTTCAATGCAGACGCATGGCCCGCCGCGCTGGCCTTCCAGCCGCAGCATTCCAGCCGCTCAGCCTGCTCCGCCACGTCGACGACGGGAAGCGACACCCCCAAGAAAACTCCAAACCTGAACAACTTCCTGCAGCGTGATGCCTACAACATCAGATGGTGCCACTGCCCTTTCCACCCGGAGATCGCCCCCTGCCGCGCACGCATCCAGCGAGACATTCGAGATGCCAGCCGCGCGCCGCAGCAGCTGCGCCACGACAATCTCCTGCGTTTCCTGCGGCGCCGCTTCTGGCAATCTCGGCCGAACCTGCAGATCGCCATCGCCGCCGACATAGCTGGCTCGTGTCCGACTGTCGCCAATGAAATTCAATGTTGAGCAGAACTGGCCACGGAAGAATAACCGAAAACAGCGCGGTTCTTTCAGGCAGCGG